GTGGTCTGAGTGGATTGGGGGGTACAATAATTTATTATTAGGGTATACCTCCTCTGTTTGCAGTCTTTAGTAATATCACCTGCGCAGTCCGGCACTCAGTGTGTCAGAGCAAGGCACTGGCACTTTGCTCTGACTCATTACTACTGCAAAGAGAGGAGGGAAGCTCGCGGTACTTTAGTGACCTCACCCGCGTGGTCCGGTGTGTAGTAATGAGCCAGAGCAAAGCACAGCACTTTGCTCTGACACACTGAGTGCCAGATCACACAGGTGATGTTATTAAAGACTGCAAACAGAGGAGGCATGGTTGAAGTGCCATCAATCGAAGGAGGAGGTGGGAAGCGTGCAGTTGCAGCCCCAGTTACAGCCCTGGCTCAAATGAAGGCTCCACTCTCCCAGCCCTGCCGCTTGAGGTGAGAAGCTGCAGGGGCTTATACATCAGCGTATAACACACAGCTAGGATTTCAGCCCCAAATTTTAGGGGAAAAGGTGCGTGTTATATGCTGATAAATACAGTAGTTTGATTGAACAAAAACATCTTTTTACATTTCCACTTCATGTGCACAAGTGTGCCAAGGTTCCTGGGATGAAGCAGTCCACAGTGGATAGATTTTTTACTTTTAATCTTTATCTGGCAGAACTAATGCTGTGTTCTTTATTTACTTTTAATTTTTTTCTTTATTAACAAAAATCTTGTTCTTAAATCTGTGAAGGTACTATCATGAGGAAAAGCCTTCCTCTTCACCAACAGCTTTTCAGTCCCAGCTGCCAAATACCAGTTCATTTTGGCATATAATTAATTCCCCAAGACATGAGATCTTCAAATATTTTTGTTGTAATGGAATGGTTCAAACTAACTGCTTTTATTCTGCTGTTTCCTTTAGAAGGACTAGATGAGATGGAAACAGATCTCCTTAAGTGTGAGTTCTGTGGGAAAATGGGGTATGCAAACAAGTTCCTGAGATCGAAACGATTCTGCACCATGTCCTGTGCAAAGAGGTATTCTGCATTAGTTATCATATTAGAGACTGTCAAAAACCCTGAATATAGTACAGGATTTGGAATCAAATTTTTATGTACTAAACAGTCAGATGGGTCCCAAACATAGAAGCTCGCTGTTGATGATCTTGAGTCAAGACTGTGCTGGTTCCATTCATAAGGATATTGTATTAAAGGGTTGGCTATAATTTTTTAAAAAAACAAGCTTGGGGGATCAGAAATATTATTTATGTATTGGAACAGACTACTACCCGTGCTTGAATCAAAGGAGTACAGACTCCAAGAAAAAGTTGTACATTATATAAAATAGCTCACTAATCTCTCTCTCTTTCTCTCTGTCTTTCTCTCTCTCAAGTTTCTGCCCCCAAAGTTTCACTAAAGTGAATTTGCAGAGTTTTACCCATGCAAGTGGATTCTCTTCTCAATTTCTTTCCCTTCAGATTTTTAAGCTGTTTGGTTAGTTGTATTTAATCAAAAGCTTTTAACACAATGAACAACATCATTGCAGGACAGAGAATAATATTTTGAAAATAGAGATCAATATCAATACATTGGAAAAATGATTCTTTGTCAATCAAAAGCAATGAGAACAAAAAAGTAAACAGGTTGTTTAAGGGATATTAGGAGGGAAAATCAACTAAACCTCATTTTAAACTGTGGTAATATTAACAGGTTGGTGCATTTTTAAACTTAATAATTGAAAAGAAGTGTCATAAGAGTATACAAACAACCCAAAGCAATAAATCTCCACCTAGTACAAAGTGTCAGACAAAGAATGGGGAAACCCAGCATCTAGTCTGTCTTCAGCCAAGTCTTTGAGCCAATCAACTCTCTCTCATCCCAACCTATCTCATGGGTGGGTATTGTAGGAATAAAATAAAGGCCACTGAATTAGCCACAGTGAACCTTTGGGGGAAAGGCAAGCTATAAATATAAAATATATACAGGCACGGGACTTAATATAAAAGTTTCAAATCAATTCCTTAATTTTTTTTGTTTGTAAATATATTATGTGATTGACTACATCAGTTAAAGCCATAACAGGTAATAAGTAAATTACTTTCAAAGTATGCATAGTTGTATGTATTTCATCCAGAGTATTGAAACAAGTATGATTCATTTGAACTTTGAGTTGTCACTGAATCTTAACATCTTTTTATAATGGAACTAAAGGCACTATCCCATCAGTTCTAACCAAATTTTTATAGTTTGCTTTCTGGAAGTATTGGTCTATGTAATAATAATTGCATGCCTTTAATCATTTACATTTAGGTACAATGTGAGTTGCGGTAAGAAATTTGGATTATATGCATCAGACAAGAGCAGTCGTTGGAGCCGTAGTCCAGATAGTCAAAGCCTCGGGCGACGAGGGCGGCGGCCAAGTGGCACTGATGGAGCTCCAAGAGAACACTTCCTTAGACAGGTCTGTAGAATGCTAACTGAACTCCATGGTGTCCTTTTGTAAGAGTCATAAAGGAAAATGGTTATACTGTGGTTTGTCTGTACTGCATTTTCCAGCTACCAATTACTTATCCATCTGCAGAAGAAGACTTGGCCTCTCAGGAAGACAACGTGCCAGTTGCCATGACCACTCGCCTGCGAAGGCAAAGTGAGAGAGAAAGGGAGCGTGAGCTTAGGGAACTGAGAATTCGGAAAACAGCAGACAACATGGATTTGTTGCCAGCCATGCAATCTGTTCCATCAGTATGGACTGTTGAAGATGTCTGGGCCTTCATCCATTCTTTGCCTGGTATGCAGCTGGAATCTGTATGAATTCGCTAAGAATGTTAGAGAACAGGCTTGCTGGGAGGGGAATATACCAGGTCCATACTTCGTTGCAAAAACACTGGGAAAATGTTGATTGTTCAACCTATTTCATGTTATATATCTAGAATTTCATGATATATTTCATGTTATATATCTAGAATTTACTTTCAGAATACTTTGAGATGATTTGCTTGTTTTTTCCTATTTTAAGGATTAGAACCTAGCCCTTCAGCAAATTCCCATGGTAGTTTATAAAAAAATTATGCCCCCCCCAAGTCAAATCAAACATTACATCACAGTTTAAAAGAGCACTGTATCATCAGTCAGTTGAATAAAATAAAAAATAAAGTTATTTGCAGAGGTACAGCAATCATATTTGAATCCCTGGGGAAATGAAAAAAGTTTTATCTGGTACCAAAATGACATTAACATAGGTACAGAAGTGCTTCCCTGGCCTGAATATTTCACTGTCAGAATGCTACCTTCAACAGAGAAAGGCATTACCTACCTCTCATAAAACTAATGGAAATAAAAGATTCCCCAGCATGACTTTATTACATAAATCTCCAACCTCCCTCCGGTATCTGCCTTTGAAAAAGGATTGAATATAGCCAATTTCTTTGTAACATAATTGCTCTGCCATTCCAAGATTAACTATCTCCCTGCTGGCAACAGTAATATCTCTGCAAAAATAACAGCGTGCCTATCCTACAATGTAGCTGCTGTTGAATTCCACAAAGAGTTAATTAAGGGCTTCAGTTAAAACTTAGCGGCCTTCTCTCATAGCTAGCAGAACCTTTATCTTCTATCTTGGGTTTTTGTGACTCTGTATTTCTGTATCTCTTCTCCATCTGGATATATGTACTGGGTAGGCAGATCCCACACTACATAATTTTCCCAGTTCCTCTTCAGTAGTCTGGAGTCACCTTGAACATTTTGTCAGCAGCCAGAGACTCCCTAATTCCAACTTTCCTTGATAGCCATCTTCTGTTTTTCTTTCCTTCTCCACCTTCCCTACAACTAACTTCCTGACAGCTTCTTAGTTCTCAATTATCCTTCCTCCATGAGAGTTTATCTGTGTGTGAAAACTCTTTTTTCTGATTCTTTTCTTAGATTCTAGCTGTCATCCATAAAAACAATTTGTATGTGTGACAGGTGACATAACAGGATGGCAGACCATCTTTACCTTCTCCATTCTATCCCAATTCATCTACCCATAAGGCATTCAAAAACACTGGGATGTATCCCCACACCATTTTATTTTATAAGAATGCCTCTGTGGTCCATATGAAGCCGCACGGGGTCATAAGTTAATATAGGCTATTTTTGAGGTTGGTGCTTTTCTTTGCAGTGCATGAGGTTCTGTTTTTTTAAATGAAAAATAAAATTAGGTAGACCTGGGGAGCTCAATAGTCAGCCGGAAATATGTGATGAACAGTACCTTGCTGCTCCTAGGTGCCTATTTGGGCCATTTTTAAAAACTATAAATTTAGTTGTAACTTTTTTTTTCTTTTGCATCTACATACCTTAGCATTTCCATTGTTGTACTGAGTGTTATCTAATAGCGTATCACTGGGAGATAAAATGTCATAATATAAACAAACGTGTGTCAATGTTTCCCTCTCTGTCTCTACCTAAGATTCCATTTTAAACATCCCAGATATCTCCTGTTCATATTGGATGTTGCAAAATGGTACTGCTCCAGTGTCTCTCAGGATCTTAACCACAGATCCAGGATCTCTCCCACCTTAAGAAGCCCCAGGTGACACAATTATGCAGGGATGTTCCCTGAACACCTGAATAACCACACTAAAAGCGCTGTTACTCCAAAGCAGAGGACAGCCCAGTCATACTGTTTGAGTAAGAGAATATGGCCTAAATATCATTCCTGTCCTCTGCAGGATCTGTTCAGCAGATTAAGCAGATCTCCAAGAGAGCTTTAGACCTATCATTTTTGTGACAGGAACAGGAAAAAAGAGTTTCTTATTCTTTTCATTCTATTGTAACTCTAGCCTTATTCAACAATTTGAATACATATTCAGCCAATACCTGAAGTAAAGCTTGAAAAGTAGCCAGCTCCTTGATTTCATGTGCACTGGATAACCCTGCCCTGTAGTGTCCAAGCATCACAGCAGGTTTGTTGGGTTTCTGATTACGCAGAAGCCCTCAAATGTGCAATTGTACATACAGGAGTTTCGTCCTCCAGACATTCAGATTTCCTACCCAGATGTTAGAGGAAAAAGGATAGTTCACACCCATAACATGGTGTTTAGAGCAGCTCAGCCTCCTTCTCATGCATTGGATAAATATGTTGATAGAAACTGTGAACAGAATTCCTGTGCTACCTAAAATAGAATATCAGCATTGCAGGGCTGATAAAAATGCAACATAATGCATTTTACAACTGGTGCATCTTTCTCCCCACACATCATCACTATATCTAAAGCAACACTTTGATGATTCTCGAACAGCCTTCTCCAGTCCTGGCATCCCACAGATGTGTTGCAACTGCAACTTGCTGGGCATTCTGGGAATTGCAGTCCTAACAAATCTGGGGAGCATCAAAATAGGTGTTAGTTCTACACTGGTAGAAACTGAAGTTGTTGTTCAGTCGTTAAGTCATGTCCGATTCTTTGTGACCCCAAGAAATTGAAGTAGAGTTCATTAAAGGACAGAAATCCCAGAGAATTAAATGCAATCTGTTCTATAAACAGAAATACAAACCTAAATTTAAATTCAGACTAGATTCTGCTAAATATGATCCTTTTATCTACTGAAAATTTACAGAGCCAAGCTTGAAAATCCCTAATTTCAAGACAGCCATTATTTCCTTTTTTGGTAATGTTTGTTATTTGTTGCAGGTTGTCAAGATATTGCTGATGAATTTCGAGCCCAAGAGATTGACGGGCAGGCTCTTCTCTTATTAAAAGAGGATCATCTCATGAGTGCAATGAATATTAAGCTAGGACCTGCACTAAAAATCTGTGCGCGGATCAACTCTTTGAAGGAATTGTAGTGGAAAACCAAGGCTTAAATCACAGTTTTAAATAGACTTGTAAAGTAATAAGCCAACATCTCAGTGTTTGATGCAATTATTACTGCTTTGCTTTGCTAAGCTTTTTTTTCCCACATAAAAACTATTGGAGGAGCATTTTTAATATGATCTTCCAAACTTTCCAGCTATTCAGGAGACATAAGCTGTGCTGGTTTAAAATTATTTAGTCAAAACCAGAGGGAGGTAGAGTCGGTGAGAAGCTCAATGAAGTGTATGTAATATGTTGTGGGTGATGCTTATTCCAAAAAGGCAATTATTTACCATACAAGAATTAAGCTTTTTTTGAATATATAACCTTGATTACAGTTTTACATTGTGTTTCTATACACTTTTTTCCTTTATAGAAAGCTTTTACAAATATGGATTAACAGAAGAGTCCACAGAGTCTGTGGAAGCATTGACTATGGTAAAATGCTATGCATTTAATTGTGCTCATTGGGTTTCAGTTAATCTTGAGCATACGGTTTGAAGAGAAACTGTCGTTCACCTTCTCTTCTTTCTTAATCCTACAACTCACCCACCATTATACCATTTCCTTTAAGTGTGGAAGCTTTTCTGTAAAAATATGAGATATTCTGGGAATTCTGCAAACCTTCCACTGTTAGAAATTTTGATCTTACGGATCACTTGTGTCCTCCTTGCCAGTTTGAGCAGAACCCCCACCAGTGTCTAGATTTTTTTTTTCTTAAATCAGGCAACAGGGAGGCATGAATGAGTGGAGCTCCACAGTGAGTATGATGCACATGCTAGTAAAGCTACATGGCACATTTTCTAGATAACAAAAGCACATACATTATCCCTTTGTATGGTGCTATGTACTGAAGAGGGCATTATGTTACAGTTTTTCTTTTCCCTTGCTGCTGGTTAATGTAGACCAAAGGAGTTAACGCACACCTGAACACGCCCTAGAGTAGAGGCACACTTTTATCCATATGCTAGTGTGCTGCTCTGTGCTTTGTTTCTACCTGCCTCTTGTGTCTCCTCCCTCCCTCCCTCCCTCCTTCCTTCCTTCTGCAAATCCTTTGCTGAACGCTGTTAGGGATGTTATTGGAAGAAGCATAGTTTGAAATTACACTGCTTTCAGCTCTAACATTTTCTCACAGCCCAGTGTTATCTGCAGAAGCTGCTCATCTCAATGGTGAGGATCCTAAATCAATGGCACCAAAGTATTATTAGTAAGTGGTCAGATATTTGTCCTCTGTATCTGCTTAATATTTTGCACTGTAAACCAAAAGATCTTGTTGCCATGATATGGGTCAATCAAACAGGGCCCAGTTCATCAATAATTTTTCTTGTGTGAGATACACTGATACAGGTGACTTTCATCTGGTAGACCTGACAGAAAAGAAATTCCTTGTAGCAGCCTTCTTCCAACTCAGAGCTCACCAGGGAACTACAGTTCTCTTCAGCCCTAGCTAGGACAGCAGATTAGGGGAAACCTTCATGTAATTGAATGTAAATCTTCCATAAGGTCCTATATTCATTTCAGACATAGGTAGATTTTAGTAACAATATAATTAGTATAGATTTGTTTTTTGGAAAGGACTTACAGAAGGCTACTGTAGTTAACTCCTTGGTACTACCAAAGATACTCAATTATTGTCATTCCACTGAAGGAATCTGTCAGAATGGAGAAAGGGTGATTTTCACTTATTTCCTCTCTGCCTATCTGCACAGCGGTCCCAAAATTGCTCTGCAAAGCTGGGAGACCCTTCAAAATCAGTTTGGATGGGGAGCAAATAACCACTCCACTCACCCACCTTTCACTGACTGATGGAAAGTCAATCTTTGGAAATTACTTGGGTATCATCCTGTATATAAACAATAAATATAATAGTATTACAGTTATAAATCTCTCTCTTTGCTTTAAGTGGAGACCAGAGTACCAAAAATATATATATATTTATAACTCGTTCTGGTAAAATGTTTTTGTTTTATTATCTCTTTATTTGTTGATTAAAGATTATTTAGAGCTAGCAAAAGCACTTAAGACTTGCACAGTGTTTTACTGATTTAATATCTGGAATTTTGGAGTGCTTTCAGAAGGATTTCTAGCTATTGGAGGTTATTAGAAGCTCAAAGCAATCCATTTCCGTATAAGTTAAGAAAGTCACCTGCTGTTGTTGAAACGTGTGCATGGGAAAAAAAATCAAAGATTAGAAAGTATTGCATAATTCTCCAATTCTTCACTTTTACTGTGATTAGATTATTCTTCTTATAGCAAGGTTACATGGTTATATAGCAAAAGCTGCCAATTTTTTTTTAGCCAAGCAAAGATTGTGAGCGGCTAATTGGAAATAAAGACAGCTCGTGAAGGGGACTTACGCCAAAGCAGAATAACAAACGTGGCATGTCTGTTGAAATTCCAAACAGAAATAGGTCAAGCCACTTCAGTCCCATTCACTTCAAAGAATTTAAGGGTGCAGTCCTCTAAACTCTTAGTTATGAGTACATATGTGCTGGTTTGTAAATTATTTTATCAAAAAATTACAGTTTTGCTGCGTTGTATATCAAGCTGATTTTGTTTTGTGAATGACTATATTTTGAATGTTTATCTCTTAAATATCTGGATGTAGCAGCATTTTTTTTCATATTCAGCAGTTACTAGCAGAGCACAATTTCATATTCATAGTAGTATGATAAGCATTATATATTTTATACCAAACACACCCTTGACTTTCATTAGCTGCACAATGTATAACCTTACAGTAATTTTCTAAAGAGGATTATGGTATTACTCTTATATATGGTAGTATTGCTCCTCTGAATATGCAAAATATGAAGAGAAGCACAAAGGATTCTGTCCTTGAGAGAAAACGGATTTTGTTCTAGCTTAATCCCCAATAAACCAGTTTGACATGGGCAATCTATGCGATTGCAAGCAACTGCTGAAAGAACCAAATCAAGAGCCACTTTGGTCTAGTGGTGAAGGCTCCAGGCCAGAAAGCAGGAAATGGTGTCCTGGTCCCGCCTGAGGCACGAAAGCCAGCTGGGTGGCTTTGGGCCAGGCACTCTCTCTCTCAGCCCAACTCACCTCACAAGGGGGTTGTTGGGGGGAAAATAGGAGGAGGAAGGAGTATTAGGTATGTTCACGGCCTTGAGTTATTTATACAAATAATAAAGGTGGGATTAAAAAAAAGTACTAAAAAATGCTATTCCCTGTATTCAGATGATAGGCTAGGATAGGATAGTTTGATACGCCTGCTTCCTTCCTCTTGCATTGAGGAGGTGGTAATGTTTTGGTAAGAAAAATTGTCAGGCTACTAAGAAACCTGTTTGTAAGCAACTCCTTCCCTCCCTTGCCATCCATTGGGGGGTTGGTCGGGTGGAGGACTAATCTCACCGGCTCAAAAATAACCAGCCCCACTTTCCACAGGATGCAGAGTTTAGTACTGGGTTAGTAAAAGGGCTGAGCTTGTTGCCCTCTGAATAGGCAGTCCCCTGCTTAGAAGAGAGTTATCTTGGAGAAAGTTGTTGGACTACATTTAATTAAGATGAGTTCCTGTTTGCTTTTAGCATTTTCCACTGCAGTTTCCTTAGGTGCAGTTAGAGGCTGCACAGAAATAATTATGCAAGTTTTACTCACAGTGACTTGTCTGAACACAGCTGAGCAGGGAAGGCTCTTATTTGAGGGTTATTAATTTTCTTTAGATTTTTTTTCCGTTCATTTGTACTATCTCAAGGTTATTTCTTGCTTTATACTTTGTGCTTACATCTGTTTACTAAAGTGAAAAAGCTGAAATGAGAACTAGCCAGGATGTATTGAAACCTTTAGTGTTATTCGCTGTTATGCTGTGGTATGATTAATGATGTTCTTATCAACAGCATGACAACCAGCTTTCTAATCCATTGGTACAGGACTGACTTGTTGCATAGGAGCCATTTATCCGCAGTGTAAATAACTTAGCTACTGAAGCTCATGGCATGAAGATGGTCTTAGCATGCAGAGTTTCCTTTAATAAAATTTGGAGGGGCTTATAGTGGCTTATTTTCACTTTGTAGTCCTATAGTCACTTCAGTTAAATGCCTTTTGTAATACACCCCTCCCTTCTTTGTGTTACACATTTTCGGTCCTCATTTGCTTGCTTTAAATGATAGAAAGGAGTTGTGACATGGGGAAATGAAGTACCAAAACTTGTAGGGACTTTCATTGGTCTTGTGGGCAGTCTAGGATTGGACTTTTCTACTGGGTTTGCCTCACTAATGCTTTATATCTACTGTGTAATTTTAGCAAACTTTAGCACAAGGATAGGCCTTTTGCTCACATGACATTCACTGCTGTAGGGTGCAATCCCGTTGAACATCTCTTTCAAAAGCATTTCCCTGGAAGGCATTGGTTACACTCCAGATAATTCTCTTCTATGTATGCCAAATGATACATTAGAAATATCACAGGCAATCAGATGTAGAACTGCCCCTTCCCAGTTCATACTATGTGCAATTTAATGGCTTGTGCTGGTGTTTGACCTTTTTGACCCACATGGGTTAAAAGCTCTTGAGTATAAACAGTTATAAAGATTCAGCACAGAGACTATATGTAGTGCACAATATTATGATCTTCAGGAAAGGCATTGTGAGACCTAATTTGCCAGCTTTTTAACTGCTGCTTATGTTGAAGACAAAATCAACATAACATTAATCACCATTAGGCAAAGTAAATGCTTGAGGAACATCCAAATAATGGTATTTAAATATTTAATTGGGTCACATAGTTGCACGGGCCTTAGTGGAACCCAATTGCTCTTGCTCTGGATGGTTTGTCAAACAAAAAGTAAGAGATTAATCGCATGAGGGAACATTTTGTCTGTATGAGGGATTTTTTTCCGTTCTCTTTCTAGCAGTGTCCACAATCCTATTTCCTTAAATTCATTTGGTAATGCATCGGCAGTCTCCCCATAAAAAGCAAAACAAGTGATAATTCAGGTATTTCTTATGGTGGCAAATTGGGGCTGCTGCTATAGGTGTCTCCAGAACAACTCTTAGGATACAAGGGGCTTCATCCAAGTTGTTGCATCAAAAGAAACTTTGCTGTAACAACAACAAAACTTTCAAATGCACACAAGACACCTAATTTGTTGCCAGTTTTTCTAATTTTACTTTAGTTCCTAGGATCCCCTGAAAAGCTGTTTCTAATAGTTAGGGACCATTTAGAAAATAATGAGATAGGATGGCAAGGGATGGGAGAAAATTGGGGAAGATGAGTTCCTTGACTCACACAGCATCTGTCTACTAAGGCTATCCATTGTTGGATGCATCTCACAGACTTGAACACAGCACAGCTAGAAAGCTTACTTGCTTTGGAGAAAGAGTCATATGAAACTGCTTTTACTGTGGAGTCCTTGGCTGTTTTACCTCTGAGCTTGGCTGTTTTCTTGCAAATGTTTCATTACCCGGTTAGGTAACATCTTCAGTGCTAGAAAGGAATGGGGTTTGTTCTCTGTTTATACACAGAGTGGCGTGCCAGTTGGTGGGGGTGGGAGTGTGGGTTTTGTTTTTTCCTCTGCTAGTTCCTTGATTAGGGTATTGTTTACTGTTGATTGTATGTCTGGTGATTATCTTGGTGTTAATCTCTGCTTATCTGAGTGATGATTGCTGGTGAGGAGATGTTCTGGTCTTTTG